CCTGGCACCAACCTCTGCACCTAGCCCTATCCCACTTCAGGTACTACCACCCGCATCTAATTACATTTCTCATCTTGTCTCCCCTACACCTACACCTACACTCATCAAAGGCATCACTACATGCACCACTCAACCCCCTGGCCCTTCCGCATCGATCCCTCCCCTCAATCGATACCACAGGATGGTTATTGTGTAAAAATAGCGGGTTTCTAATAGTAGAAGCACATGTATATTATAAATGTATTTATGTTTGGACGTTGTAGTTATAGTACTGGGATACTTTCAAACGTAAATGTAGGTATTTATAAAATGCAAACGGACAAATTATCTAGTTTTAATATTTGAAAAATGCACATAAAAAACAAAACCATCATATTGATATACAATTAAGGGCGAGTCTCAGGTGAGATTTGACACTTGTTGACACGTTCTATTTCCAAATACTCTCAGCGCGAGATGATTCACAGCTATTAACTTACCCTAGCCAGCCTCCTAGATGTGCCCGTCTATGTCTTAAATGGGTGTAGAGTATGGAGAGTAGCTGAAAGGTACGAGACAACAGGATACAATAGACTTCTTCTCAAGTACGGTTATCTCAGCTAGGAAAAGTCCCTAGTCTGAGAGAACCGAACCGAATCTTTATTTATGTTTTCACTAGACTCAGGATTTACTAGAGTGTTTTTCTCACACACGGGAGTCCCGGTATATCCTACCGGTTCTACCGCTAATATTTCTGATGACTCTAATATCAGAAATATTCCAATCCTAATTCCAAAACTCATTATTTATTTATTCTGGGTTTTGGGATTTGTATTGGCTTTTAGATAATCTGGTCTCTAGATGCTACAGCCTCCCAACTTTATGCTTCTTAGCCTGCGTAGGAGTAGAAAGTGACATCTTACAGTACTAGATTATCTAGAGGTTGGTGATTGTATACAGGGAAAAACTTGTCCCTTAGAGGGGGCATAAGATGAAAAACCTGCCACCATTATCTATTACATATTACCGATTAATTAAATTTATACTATAGCAGGAGTCCTCAACCACGCTCATCGGAGTCGGTCTTGACCGGTGCTCTCGGTTGATCTCAACTTGGCTTAGTAAAACGTATCTCAACGGTGGCTCTACAGCCGAGTCTCTGGTCCTTGTCCCCCTGGTGTGTGGGGGGAGCATGCTTCTAGGCGAGAAAAGTGGGAGTGTCCTGTGGTATCAGTGAGACTTGCTTAGGTCCCCCGCCTCGTGCGCTGTCTGTGGCTCGCTGATCTTTCATCAGTGCTCTTTGCCGCTGGCTTCTTTGGCCTGGACTGCCTTCTTTTACGTCTCCGGCGTTGACGGTATGTTGTAATGACATCAGCATCTGCGATGTCTGATTCATGCGTCCAGGTACGCTCACCATCTGTCCAATGCAGTAGGTACTCCTGTGATCCATCACCTCGGATGGACGGCCTGTCGTCGACTATCGAGGAGAACTGAGTCTCTTCGTTCGGTTGTACGTGATTGTTGGAAGTAAATGCTTCCGGAGCACTGGCCCTTTTTACGAGGCCAAGTAGCTCATCACTGATCGAGTCAGAATATTCAGGGGCGTTAGTCCCATCAAGGATACAGACAAAATACCCGTTGCCCTCCCTGCATAATATTTTGTACGGTCCGCCATTTGGTGCTGTTAACTTGTTCATTTCACCTTGGTAGCGAACCATAACAAGGTCCCCTTCCTGGAAGTTTACATACTTCTTTTGGTATTTTCGATCGTATGCAGCGCGCATCTTCTCTTGATACTGTGCAACGTTGCTATCTAGTTGTGGCCTGATGGCTTCTTCTAGATTTTGCAGTCGATCCTCCCAATATACTGTTGTACTGGGTGCGGTCACTGGATCATTGTAGTTCGTGAGTTGATTCTGTCTGCGACCAAAGTACACATTAAAGCGTGGTGACTTGTGTCTTCTGGATGTACGCAGATTATGGCCTATCTGTTCGCGTGGAAGTCGTGAACACCAGTTACCTGGATTATGTTCAACAAATTTCCGTAGCAGTGGCATGAGGCCTCTATGTGATCGTTCATTCGCGCCTAAGACTTTAGGTTGATACGGCCGAGTGACTAGGTGCTGCATTGACGCTTGTTCCACAACTTTTGAAAGTATGTTGTTAACATATTCAGTGCCTTGGTCAGTCTGTATGATTTGTGGGAATCCATGTTCACACATGATTGGTACCAGCGTACGTGCTATAGTAGCTGCTGATTTTTCCATCATTGGACGTAAAATGACATATGATGGATGTACATCAGACCATACTAACACATATGTGTGTCCTCTGTTGGAATCTAATAGTGGAACTATGGTGTCCACTTGGATTCTGTCGCCTGGATATACCGCTGTGGTTGATTGTAAGGGGTGAAAGCCCATTTTGTGTATCTTTTTCTTGAGACATGGTATGCATCCGTCAATGAATCTGTGTACATGTTGTTGGATATCAGGCCAATCGTGTCCATCTGTTTGCAACTAGTGTATTGTCCCAAGTTGTGTAATTGCTCAATGATGTTAACACGTGTCTCATACTCTGTTGCCTGTGGTGCATCCCCAGAGTGTACTGGTTCTGACGTCGCAACGTGTGTAGCAGGTTGTTCCCGCGTTGTGTCAAAGTATGGAGACTTTGCTCTTATATTTGCAACTAATGTGACACCCCATGGGGTCTTGCTACAAGCCTTTTTGCCCTCTTTTAGGAAAATATTGTTTGTGTTTTCCACTAGCATCGGGTCTTCTTCTTCTAGTGACAAGAACTTTGAAAACCACGAGGCATTGGGGTAATATGGTACACATATCGTGATGCTTGTTGCCTCTTCAATGGCTTTGTCAAGGACATCAGGTATGAGTTCCCATGGTGGGTTCGCCCATGCATTCACTTCCTGCGCCCACTTTTGTTGTAGCGCATTCTGTTCTTTGGTGTAGTATAATCTGTGTGCGCACTGTGTGCCGATGCAAAGAGATCTACTGCGAACTTCTCAAACCTTCGTTTCGCTTCTTGATATAATCTGGGATGTAACATCCAGTATATAGCCGATATGGTTATAGACATGTTCGTTTTCAAGGTGGTGTACTCTTGGCTATTTTGTGTTGCCTCATTCGCCTTTTGTAATACTTTTGACTCTTTAGTACTAAAATATCTTCATGGAGACGCGACATGTCTGCCATCTGGTTATCCTTGCCTGGGACATGTATGACGGAGAAATGGTGGTGGAACGTTTCTGCTATCCATTTGGCTAGCATTGGGTGTAACGTCTGTTGGCTGTTCAGTTGCGTGAGCGCTTTGTGATCTGTCCACAGTGTTATGTCCCCCCCCTTAATGTGTTCGGAGAAGTGTTCCAGGCTGTATACCAGTGCTAGTAGCTCTTTGGTATTCGTGCCATAGCGTTGTTGTGCTGGGTTCAAGCCTTTTGAGAAGTAGAGAATGTCTCTTATGACTACATTTATGACTTGAAATAAACACCGTCCTATGCCATCCCATCAACAGGGTATGCTAGCATCGCTGAACAGGCGATGGCTTCTTTAAATTCTTCCCACATCTTTATTAGTTTCGGAGTCCAAAACATGGATATATTCTGGTTCATTTTTCCTTTCATTAGGTTCCGAATGTGTTTCGTTGTGTGAGCAAAGTTGGGGACATGATCTCGCATGTAATTTGCTAGTCCCACTGCTTTGTGCAGATCTCTTTTTGTTCTGGGTAGTGGCCAATCCATCATTATTTTCTGTTTCTCAGAGTCTGCTTTGAGTCCCTGTGTGGTGACTTTCACCCTGAGAATGTTGATCACTTTGACCGCAAAGGCACACTTGTTGTGATTGAGTCGGAAGTTTGCGCTATTCATTCGCTTGATTACTTCACGAACTGTCTTGCGGTGTTCTTCTTCTGTAAGACTCGCAATGACTATGTCATCTACATACACTTGCACTCCTTTGATATCTATGAGCAGATTCGCCATGACTCTCTGGAATTGTGCTGTGAGTGAGTGTAGTCCAAACGGCGCGGACTTGAATGAGTATTGTGCTCCTCTCCACGAGAACGTGAAGAAGTGTTGGGTTGCTTCGTCTACTTGGAAGTGGTGAAATCCTCCTCTAAGATCTAGCTTTGAAAAGAACTGTGCTCCTTGTAGGTTGTGTAACACTTCCTTTACTTTTGGTAACACGAACTTGTCTTGTTCATATTGATAATTGACCTCACGTAAGTCGTACTTTCTTGAGGAGACCTGTTTGGTCATGTTCGCCTATTGATAACAACGGTAGGTTCACCGTTGTGGGTGTGTCGCGTTTGTATATGTGACCATCTAAAAGCCATCGTTGCACATTCTCATACGTTTGTGGAATGTATTTGTGCGGAACAAAGTTGACTTTAGCGTGCCTCATTTGTCCGATGTTGATTCTATTTGCAGGTACTGTGACTGTGGAGCCTGGTAGGTTGCAATGAACATCAGGAGGTATATTCGCATTGGTATCCAGGAGGTCTGTAAGTGACTCTCTGAAACCTTCTTGTTCATGCTCTGGGTCCTCTTCATGTGGTGTGAGGAGTGACTCCCATTTTGCATCTGTTGATATAAGTGGATTGATTAATCCTGCTATGTATATACCTATGTATGGTAGATTGTCTATACCTAGAAGTATTGGTATCTTTTTGTCCGGTAAGTCCAATACTTAACACTGACAGGTCTTCCTGCCTCCATAGTTAATGTCACAAACTTCTGTTGATCCAGTACGTTGTATTCTTGCATCTGTTTGTACTAGTTGTATATACCCTGGTTGCGCTCGAACAAAGAGATGTGGTTCTGAAACTACACTTTTGTCCATGCATGAGCGTTGTGCACCCGAGTCTACTAGTGCGTTGTATGTATTACCATTGATTTGTATGTCAAAGTGTAAACGTTGATCTCATGGTGCGGGAAGTAAAGATAAAGGTTGATAATTTGTATTTCTTCATGCCAGGTCAATCATGTTTGCTTCCGCCCACCAATGTTTTCAGTGCTCATCGCCTTCTGTGATGTCTTCCACCTTGCCAGATGCAATGGACAGTCTTGCTATCTGCACATCTTTCTTGGCTCGCTCCTTAGCCTGCTCTTTCTTCTTGGGACATTTACTGAACAGATGTGGGGATGGCATTACCAGGCAATAGGGGCATGCACGCTCTTCACGTGACCTTTTCTTCTACTACCTGTCCCCCTGTAGGATTGTGGTTGTTTGCACCATGGTCTGTTTTATATCGTTGTTAGCATTGGTAGTATTAGCCTCTGCTGGTGTGGTAGTCTGTGCGTTGTTACGTTTGTTTGCTGCTCGCACCTGATCTCTCAACATACGCTCTGCTTGTGTCACAGCCGCCGTTCGTATGTGTGTCTCAGTCATAGTATGAAACTTAGCGTGGTCTATGTCGGACAAGTATCTTTCACTCTCATCAGGTTGCTTATCTCCTTTAATTAGAGTTTCCACAACTGATTGCAATCCATAGTACTTAAGTGCTAGGTACCTTTGTACTTTGAGGATTTGGAAGTGTATGGGTTTTTTGTCTGAGTTGCGGTAACGCTCCTCTAACATCGCCATTGTCTTGTGCACACGCTCTGTGTGCACTTCGGCGTGCATTTTCTTATTCTGCATGTCATTGAGAAACTTCTTCAATAGATAGTCAGTCTACTGGATGTGATCTGAGTCGGTCAAGAATGATTCTATTGAATTGCTCAGGATCGGTGAAGTGCCTAGTTGCATGTATCTCAGAATCTCCTAAGTCATTGAGTACTGATTTGGTCTTCTCCGTTGCATCAATGGAATCCAATATGCTTCGCATTAGTGCTGGGTACTGACACAGAGGCATTGACTTAGCTAAGAATACATCACTACATTGTGTAGTGAACTCTATGATGTCTTCACAATTTTCCATTCTAAAGAAGCTATTCTTAGGCATCTTAGGAAATTCTGAAGTCTTGAGTAGTTTCTTAAGAGATGGTTCGTTTATCTGATCGCCTAAACGTGAACGCATGAGCTCTGGCTCACTAATGTACAGACTAATTTGGATATGCTTGTCTTCCTCATCATCACCACAATCAGTGATCGCTTGGTCATATCGTCGTCAGAGTTCCGCCTCCACTAGTGGCATACGGCGCTCAGGCTGTTGATTATGTATGCCTACCCTCATCTTGTGCAGAGTTGGTATGGGCACCGGTGCTGTTCGTTCCAACTTGGACACAAACCGACTCACCAGAACATGATTGCCTTGACAGGCACTCTTATCTATTTCTAGACGCATTGCTGAAGCTAAGAAGGGTATCCCCGCCGGTGTAGGCTGGCCCGAACTACTGCCTGGGCTTGCCTCCTGTCCCATTGGGCTTACTCCCACATCACCCGCGCCATCACTACCTTCCCCCCCCCCCCCCCACCGTACACGCTTGTTCTGGTTGCTGTTGGCATTTTTAGATGTCTGCGTGGTGTGTGGGTGTTAGTGAATTATTAATAAAGACTGGTTATGTTTTGTGCGAAAGCGCGCACTTCCACCCCCCCCCCCCCCCGTAATAACTTATATAAAAGAAATAAAATTTTGATTTGTTTTACTATTGAAAGTGTTGTTGCTTTGTTGCACTTCCGCTGGAAGTGTTTATCGTGCTGTATGGTCCGGTAGCTTGTTGCTTTGTCCCCTGTATTTATAGGGGCTGAAAACGGTGTTTGTTAGTCAAGCTTATTTCGTCATATGTGACGTCACTTGTACTTATTTCGTCATACGAGAAAATAATTCCTCATGTGTGTTCTCAGTGAGATATTCGTTCCTAGCGACGTCACTCTGGAAGTTCGGTCCTGTACCGAACTGTGTCGCTGTTGGCGTCACCGGTCGATTTGGTTTTTGTGCCGAGATATGTGTGCGTTAGTCCACACTTGATGTTCGGTCCTTTGCACTATGATTGTGTCAGAGTCCCTTAATTTATGTGACTACTTGTGTCTTTGTATTTCTTCACACTGTTTGTTGTGTATGTTGCGTGTTCGTTGATTTGTGTCTCTCGATTACAAGTAGTATTGTTTGTTATCGCTTGCTGTCTTCTCAATGTGCTTTGTATTGAATCAGTGACGATGCTGATCGAATGTGTTGTGTGATGCTGTTAATGTTTGACCATGCTTGCCTGAGTGACTAGTTATGGAAGAACTGAGAATTGTAACTTTGTCCAGCGTGATTGCTGAATGTTTGTTGCTGTTTAATTCTTGTGCTTCTTGATTTTTTTTTGCCTGAGTGGCTAGTCTTAGCGTTCCTAGTAACCTCTCTTAACGATAGGTGTGTCCTTGAATCTACTGGTGAATTTAAAGTTTTATTCTTATGTGTCCACTTGCGATGGCTGTGTTGTATGTACTCTTTGGCTTTTAAAACCCCCAAACTTTTTAAAAGCAACTATACTAAGGATAGCAGCCAGACCGCAGCATAAGAGCCGCACATTCCAAGACCCAAGAGAAAATCTTAGCCTCACAGTCTCCGAGTCTCAGCCTCTCAGGCCACATCCCAAAGTCAAACCAATATGCAACAACGCAGAAGGAAGCTGTCCCCCCCAAGCATCCACGCCACAGTACACACCGATTCAGTAAGCAAAATACATTTTTCAAGAAAATCACGAGTATTTTTACCTGCGAAATTGTGATGCCTGTCCCCGTACAGAAGATTATCCACGCCAGTCGTGAAGCCTGTCACTGTACAGAAGATCGTCTACTCTTCAGAAAGATCAACGTTTTCAACAATTTTCATCGAGACAATACTCAACAGCACCAATTCGTAAACGTCCAAAAAAAAAAATATTTAGTTATATAAGTAACTCTTGAGATAACTGTGTTGCATCACCTAGATTTTTTTAATTAATAAATTCTATTACAAATATTTCAACGAGATGGTTGTCCGAGTGGTCCAAGGAGTTTGACTTAAGCTCAATTATGCGTATGCATGCGCAGGTTCGAACCCTGCACCATCCAATTTTTTTTAGTACGCGAATTGCATTTTGAATCATTGGATAGCTCTTGAACGGGAGATCAATACACGGAAGATTTCTCTATGTGGATAACAAAAACGTTTGTGATGCGAATTAAAAAAAGTGAACTAATACTGTGTATACTCCTCCAGTGCAGCCTACGCAGGTTTCAATTTTTGTCAGTTAATATTTCACGAGTCTCTAGAGCGAAAGAGAAAGTCGCTGCCAGGAAATACGAAATTCTTGGGGAATTTATTTGCTCTTCCGTCAGCGAAAAGTTCAATCTGAACCCTGTACAATCTAAGGATTTCTACATTTTCTTTTTCTTGGCATGATCTATAGTAAATCAGCTGAAGGCTCTGATCGGTATATATA